ATCGCTAGCGGAGCGACGGGAGGAGGGGCTGCGCGGAGGCGGCCCTCTGCCCGAGCACGGAGGGCTCCCCGGGCGGGGCCCAGCGCCACTCACCGGGTGCCGCCCCTGCGGATACATGGCCCGCCCCGACAGGCGCGGCCGGCCCGCCGCGACGGGAACGAGGACTCTCCTGAAGCCGGGACAAAAGAGGCGAGCGCGGGCGGCTCAGCACCCGCCGCCCCCCTGGCCGCCGCCGCCGGGAGCCTGGCGCGCCTCCTCCTCGTCCTCCGGGCGGAGCGGCAGCGGCGGGGGCGGCCGGGCTTCTCCCGGGCGGGCGGCGGCGGCGGGCGAGATGGCAGCGCCGCGGCTCCCGGGCATCCTAGCCCTCCAGGCTCCCGAGGATACTCCCCGGCCCGATCCCGCCCCGGCGCCGCTCAGCCAAGCCGGAGAGCTGCGCGCAGCACCGGCACTCCGCCCACGCGCCTTCCCGGGATCCGGAGCGGAGCGAGGCCGGGCCGAGCGCTGCGCCACGATCCTTCCCGCGGGCAGCCGGAAAACGGCAGGCGAACAAAGCCCGGGCGGGCGGGCCAAGAGAGGCGTCTCCGCGGAAACCCAGCCAGGCCGCGGAAGCGCTCCCACCGCGGAGGATTCCCCGGCGAACTTCCCAAGGCGCCCGCTCCGGCCGGGATCGACTGGCCAAGCGGGAGCGCCGCGGCCCCGAGGGAAGGAGCGCCTGGCGTCCGCGGCGGTGTCCGGGGAGGGGCGCAAGCGCTGCCGGCTCCTTCCGCGGGTGCTCCGCACCGTCGGGCTCTGCTCCAGCAGCGCCGGGGGGGGGCAGCGGCGGAGGCGGCGGCCGCAGGAAGAAAGAGGGAAGCTGGGCGAGCGGAGGGGAGGGCGCGCGTCCCCGCCGCTCTGCGCCAATCACCGCGCGGGGATCCCACGTGGGGAGCTCCCGCTCTGATTGGGGCCCGGGAGGAGGGGGCGGGGAGCATCGCGCGGACGCCTGCGGGGACAGCCCGGCTAGCGAGCGGGCGGCGGCGGCGGCGCTTCCCGGGTCGATCCCGGCCTCCGCGCCCTTGGCTTCCGCGGCCGAGCCGGGCGGTGGGGTTCGCCTCCTGCCGTCCGATCTAGACCGGGCTTCCGCCGAGGCATTTCGGGGCCGACTAAGCCCCAGAACCGGGCGAGATGGCAGAGCGAGCCCTCCGTCGGGGAAGGAAAAGCCGGCCCGCCTCCTTAGCCGCGGCTGCTGCACCGCAACGAGGCCCCCGTTCCCAGTAGCCGCTCCACTAGGCGGGCGTCCCCGGTCAGCTGAGCGCCGGCGGGGCGGTACACGCGACCCAGTCCGGCTGACGGGGCGCGCCAAGCCAGGGACTCGCGGGCGGGCAGAAGGCCCGGGCCGCGGCGGCCTTTGTGGGCGGCCCCCAGGCAGGAGCGAAGGGCCGGCCTCGGAGGGCTGCTTGCCCTCGAACCGCTGACAGCGCCCTCAGCCGCGTCAACAGAAGCAGCCGCGCTTCGCCTGCGGGACATTTGCCCTGCGGGGCCGCCGTGGACCCTCCTCCCCGCAGCCGGGAAGCGCCGGTCGGAGAAGCGCCAAGGGCTTCCTCGCGGCCTCCCGGGCGAGGGCGGTAGCTGTGCCGAAGGGTCGCCCTTGCCTCGGCCGCCGGAGCCAATGGTGCTCCTGGGAGCGTGCAAAGCGCCGGGCCGCCCCCGGGGGAGTCGGGGCTTCCCTGGCGTGGGAGCCGCCGCGCCCGTGAGGCCCCAGCGGCCGTGACGTCACGAGAGAGGCTGGCGCCCGCCCCTCGACCACTCGACCCACGTGGAGCACGGCCGCGCAAGGGAAGGCCAGCCAATCGGCGTCCGGGTAAGCGCCTTCCCGGCCGCCCATTGGCCGTAGGCTGCTACTCCGCCGGCTCAGCTGTCCGTCAAACCCACGCGGGCCGTGGAACCGAGCGCTGCCGGTTGGGCGGCTTTCCTGCCCCGGGAGGGCCCTGCCTTAGCTCGGACGGGCTTCTCCTCCAGCTCTCCTCCCGCAATCGGTCGCTGCCCTGTGCCGGAAGACGGCCGGGCACCGGCCGCCGCCGCAGGAGGGCAGCCGCCGCCGTTCCGCAGCCAGCCGCGTGCCGGGCAGCCCCTCGCTGGCGGGGCAAGCCCGGCGTGGCTGAGGACTCCGGGCGCTAGAGCCTGCCGGGGCTGACGGCCCAAAAGACGCCGCCTGGCCTGTCCCGAAGCCGGGATCGGCGGCCCCGGTTGCGCTCGCGATCAGACGGCCGGGAGAGCCAGCCGGTGCCCGAGTGCGCGCAGCACGGAGAGAAGCTTTCCGGTCCTCGCCGGTTTGAACAAGGCCGGAATGAGCGATGGGAAGGAAGCGGGTTTGCACGGCTGCCGGCCGCCCTCGATGAACCCCGCCAAACGGGCCTGGGGGAACGCTTCGTTTTGTGGAAGATGGAGAGGGAGGGTCGTTATCCCCGCAATTCCATCACCCAGTTATAAGCAATGATCTTTTGAGGAAGCAACGTCGTAGGAAATCTGCCTTGCAACGTGGCACTGCTTGCACTGAAAAGGAACGATAGTCCTCAAAGAGTTCTAGATCGCTCATTGATTGTAACATTATAGCTGGCTGGAAGGAGAGCCGGTATGGAGTGGGAAAACGTACTTCCTAATGAAACTCTAGCTTTCAGAGAAGTACAAAAATTCCTGTATGAATTATCTCGTCATCAAGAATTACCCCGAAGGAAGATAAACCAGTGCAATGCAGCAAAGCAGCCTTTGTGGCAATCTCTGCCTACATCTAGAAGAGGAGTTCAGGAACAGGCAGCAGAGACCTGCGTCTCTCTTGAAAACACCATTTTTTAAACCCTGCAGTACAGTATACAAGAGAGTCGACAGAAACACACTCGCTCTGGGTTCTGCCACCTCCATGTCACTCCCTTCAGAAGAAAAAATATTACATTAATAATTTATTGGGCTGGGTTTGGCTGTCTTGGGAAGACTGTGTCTACCTGGAGTGCTCCATTAAATCACTTTGCAGGCTTCTGCAATAATTCCAGACACTTTTATAAGAAAGATTTCCTTGTGTCTCCTCCACCTTCCATTGTGCAAATTTCCTTCCGGGTTCAAAACAGTGGTGCACACAAGGCAGGGCACAGATTGCAGAGATAATTGGCTGCCTGCGAGTGTTCAGAGCAAAGCAAACAGTTCCCCAAGAGGAGCTTGGCTTGCGCACTCCCACAAAGTGGGTGGGGAGGCCTTCAGCCATCCCAGCAGAAACTCACCTGCCTTTGGACACACAGGAGTCTTTCCTTTTGCAAAAAGCGATGTGTAAACATACATGCACCTAGGGCTTGTTAAAATAGTTCAAGGGCACAATGTGTTTGCTTATGACTACAGCTACAGCAAAGAAGAAAGTCGGGTTGAGAAATGGCGTTGGAAGTGCAACTTTATTCCAGCTGGGGACTCTTAGGCACGGAGAGTGAGCAATTTATCTGCCACCTAGTAGGGAAGCCCTGGGATTGGTGGAACAGGTTATCAGCCCTGAAGTGATACTTTATATACTATTAGTAATCCAGTTGTCTTTCCAGTTTTATCCTTTTAGAAAAAATGACAAGGATGCTGAGAGCTATTTCTTACTTCCAGTATACTGAACTTAACAGGGTTAACCTTTTCAAGCCCTTTCTGTTATGTGAAGAAAAATCATTGGTTGAATCAATCCTCTTACGGTCATAAGAAACGTGCTTTGTTTTTAAAGACTTTATCTTAATGCAAGATATTCCAAGTCTTGGCAAATATCTAATATACACCTTAACAACATTCTTTAATTTGGTATGTATAAATAGGGTGGATTTGGACTCATCAGAAGTCGTGGTGAGGCAGATAATGGCTCTGAGTGTTCGGTGCTGCTAATGTAGCTGGATTGGATGAGAGATGCGAAGGGGCCATAAAGGCTGACTGCTCACATTAACAGTTGCAGAACTGGGAAGCCCCCTGGTTGTCTCCAAGAATGAGGTTTGGCTTCAAGAAACGGGAGGCAGAAATGTTGCAGTCATAAAGAAGCAACCCTATGCCTGGGCAATGCCCCCCCCCTCTTCACCTCATCTATATTTGGAACAGACCCAGATTTGTAGCAGCAGAGTCCTTAAGAAGAGCTATTTTGTGTGATATAATTCACTTTAATCTTTTAAGCTTGACAGTTTGAAAGAAGGAGCAACAAGCACATAATTATTGCACTAATTAAGCTGCCAAAACAGAATTCTGCTACATGGAGCACCTTTGAAACAGTGAGCCCTCAATTCATTAGCATCTGCTGTAAGCTTATTAAGCACCTAACAAGCAATTAGCAAGCTGTTACTGTTTGAAACTGGTATATAAATAAATTCCTGGGTTAATTTCTTCCTCTGATAATAAAGGAAACATTATGAAAATTAAGCGACAATGTAAAATGATCTTTTATTTGCTGAAGTCTACTTAGACTTCAGCAAGGCATTTGACAAAGTAGACCTTGGTAAACTAGAAAAATAGATACTATCACCACCAGATGGATTTGTAACTGGCTGACAAACAGTACTCAACGAGTAGTCCTTAATGGTATTATGTCTACATGAAGGGAAACAAGCAGTGGGGTACCCCAAGGTTCCATCTTAGGCCCAATACTCTTCAATATCTTCATTAATGACTTAGATGGAGGACTAGAAGGGGAACTCATCAAATCTGCAGATGACACTAAGCTGGCAGGAGTAGCCAACAGCCCAGAAGACGAGCTCAGGATCCAAAAGGATCTTGACAGACTTGAACAATGGGCCCTATCCAACAAAATGAAATTTAATGTAGAGAAAAGCAAGGTTTTTACACCTAGGCAGGACAAACAGATAATTAAAGTGCTTTTCTGCTTACTTTATATTCTGGTTACTGTGTTGTAGCGTTTGAAGTTATTATTTATAAGCCAGAAATATAAAACAGCCACCATTTCGCTGTATCCCCACCCACCCAAAACGGCAGCATGTCATTTCAATAAAATACAAGAGAAATGACACAGAAAATAATGGTTTATTGATATGTAGTGTAAAAGGGAGACTAGAAATACATAAATACCTCCCAGAGAAAAGAGAATGATAATACTTGTAAGTATTAGTATATCAAAACCAGACAATTATTGTTCAGTTATTCAAGTTGCTGAGAACAAGAGCACTTGGTGAATTGGTTAATCTATTCTAAGCCTTCCAGAAGAGCAACACAAGAGGCATCCTCTGAATTTCTCAGTTTTGAAGTCAACATTTTAAGCCCACCAAATCTACGCACAGATTAAGCTTCCCCACTTCCTCTCCTCTGTCGCCTCAGAGAAACGGCCGTGGAGCCTGTAGTCCATTGCAGTCCAACACATTCTAGTGCCCTGTGCTTGGAAGGTCCACTTTGCAAGTGGACAAAGGGCAGGAATTTTAAGCAATCTGCTTTTAACATTTCCATGTAAAAAGGTGGATTTTTTTTCCAGAACCCCAGAACTCCATATATCTGCTTTTGGAACTATTCCAAAGTTACTTAAAAAGCAACACCAAACTTTCCAGTCCTTTATATTTATTCCTAAAACAAATAACATCTATGCCAAATTAATTCTCTCACCAAAAGGTTTTCCCTGCATAAATAATATCCTTTATAGTGGATTATCATACATAATTTACAAAATACTGTATTTTAAGATGTTGCAATTAATCACCTTAGCGTGAAATCAAAGAATTTGAGCAATTGGGGCCCATCGTTTGGAATACAAGTGGCAGAAGCTAAGGCACAGCAGGAGCAATGCTTCCCCAGAGAAAGGGGTCTTTCCAGGTGCCCCTTTCTGCAGAGTTCCCCACTACAAGTTGAAAGGAGCCACGGCCGACAGCCACGGCCACCCGTTCACAGAATATACATAAAACACAATTCGATTCCCTGGGTAACTGAACAGACACTTCCCTTGCTGCTCTAGGAAGATGCTCCTTCCTCAACAAGCCACAGATCTGGAAAGGACGAGCTGGTCTTCTTCGGCCCTTGATCCACCTCCAACTCGTAGCTGTGAAGGGGAGGGGAGTCCAGCACTACAGCCAAGCCCACTACAAGAGGCACAGGTCTTCTTTTGCTTCTGCATTTTTTTTAAATTTATTTTTTAAAAAACTTTTCCCAACTATTTTAGTTGTTAATTAGCTTATCTGTAAACAGTTGAATTTTTTTTCTTTTTTAAAAAAGTAACAATCGAACACAAATTTTAAGCTGCTGCATTTTAAGGTTGCATAACAGCTTTTCATTTTTATCTATCCAGTCCTGCTGTCCTTAAAACTACAAATAAATCAGTAATAAACACTCTATGAAAAAGTATCTTGTAAAAAGCAAAGTATTATCTGATGTATTTTCCTCTCCTGAAAACAGCAATAAAAAGGCATTGCTACTTTTAGCTAGTCTTCAAAGAGGCAGCTTGGCCAGCCAAGCCGCCGTGGAGCACAGGGGGAGCCTTGAGGCCAAGATAAAAACCGTCAGCCTCGTCCAGCCCCCACTCCAAGAAGACGCAGGCCCCCTTCTCTGAGCTGCCTGGCTCAGGATCCGTCATCTGCAAGGGGGGGGGGGAAGATGCCTGGGTAAGGCAGGATTAGCATTCTTTTAGGGCTGTCAATCTGACATTCAGGAGAACTTCACTTTGGTCATCATTTTGACTACCTATAAATAAAAACTTCTATATTTCAAATCAGGGGTGATCTTTTCGTTTTGTTTAAAAACGGGTTTGCGTAAATATTTTTTCCATATTCCTGCTACAAGCAGCTGGGGGAGGGGGGGAATTACCAACTCCTAAGCACTAAGGGACGTTAAGAGGTCGGCAAAGTTGTCTGCAGCCTAAAAAGAGCCTCAATTCCCGTAGCAAATCAGTCCCTGCCGCATGCGGATGATCTGGAGCAGGGCTGCCTGCACGTCTTCATCCATGTGACCCTGAAAAATTAAAAGGAGGCCTTTGAAAAGGTAAACCACTACACATTTAAGACCGGCCCATTCTTGTTCTGAAGACGGATCGCTTGAATAAGTCTCGGGGCCTAAGCCTTAAAAGAGACAGCAGTCACACTCCAGCAGGAGAGCAACTGTCCTGGAAGAAGTCACCCAGGCCAAGCAAACCCTCCCCCAGGTCCCTGCAGGATCACACACCTGAACAGCACTAAGAAGGTGTGTCCGGTATATTGAGATGACTTCCTGGTGCTGCCTCTCAGCATCCTAAAACAAACGAATCTTCCATTAATTTTCTACAGGAAACGATCAAACGTGTTGCCTTCATCTTATACAAGGGATTGATGCTTCTGACACCTCTAGAAATTCCTTCAAGAGAGATTATTTTCCCACCATATCCAAGCCTGGCGCTCCTAACGTGCTGCAATGGGTCCTCATGTCCCAGATCCCTACTTACAGCCAGCTGCTGCTGTAGAGTCTCCACCTGGTTCTGGAGCACTTCCATCTGTGGATTTTGCTTCTTTGTAGGAATGTTGTGGGTAAGCTGTGAGAGGCCATTAAGGGCCTGTTTGAGCCGTTCCACATCATTGAGAAGTTCCGTTATCTTCAAGAGAGACATTGACAAAAGTCCAATGAAAAGAAGACGTGAGCCCTGCCCTCCCATCACCCCCAGCCCACAAAGAAGGAGAAAGAATACAAGCCAACTGCTTGGGCGCTTTCATCTAGAAGAGGACAGAAGTTCAGCTTTGCCCACAAAAGAGGGCTGACCCCATTTTTATATGGAATTCTTGCATAACATAAAAGGGCAGGAAGCAGGAAACAACTGCAGATACCTCCATGTGGAGCACTCTTGTCTATTTGTTTTAGCTACATTAACAGCTCTGGAATGACTGTCTGCTACACCCCCATTCCCAGCTGCAGAAGGAAGAAGGAAGGCCGGCCACTCAAATGCAGGGAGACTTCAGGTCAGAAAACCAAACTCCTGAGAGTTTTAAGATATGACTGACCAACGCTACTTGTCTTTTGAAATCTGGGCATTATTTTTTATTAAATGGCAATGCTGTGATAATGCAATGTCCCCCCCCCCCTCGAGCTTGCCAGCTACTATGCTACATGACATATAAGCTACCAGGAGTTTAAATGTAGATGGTGGACATGACTACTGTAATTAAAAAAATTGTGTAAAAACAATGGCAGGTTTAGACAACCCTTTTAACCTAGAGTAGAGTCCTATTCAGCCTTTCACAAGCTACATGTTTTCATAGCTGAAAAGCTCCAGGAAAGGCTTCCATAAATTTTAGCAGTTTTTGCAATTTCCCCACACTGCACCCAAACATCTGCAAATCTATGAAATGCTGGCATATCCAGTGGCTTCTATGTGAGCACAAAACCTGATGGTGCAGCTTTTGCTCACCTGGAAATCCCTGTAAAGGTCCCCAAGGCACAGGAGTTCAGAGTGGCTATGGGCATTTTAAAGTCCTTGGGGTTTTCCATGAAATACTTGTGCGGAGAGTTTATAAACGCAGCTTTGTGTAATCATGTACGCTAGATGCAACAAGCAATACCTCTCTAATGATTTCATACACGTGACTCCATTCCAAAGCTACTGAGAGGAAATCTAGGAGTGAGTCAGCCTGGCTCTCCTCTGTGCCTCCTCGGGCATCTCAGCTTCTCCATTTTAACCGGCTCACCTTGTTATCTTTGGCCTCCACCTGCTTGGCAGACTCCTGGATCCTTTTCTGCAACTCCACGATGGTGCTCAGAGACTTGTCACACCGCTCTTTCTGGTCTTTGATTTCCTGCTCAATGTTGACGTTTCTTGGCTGAAGCAGCTCCTTCTCATCCTTCAAGGATGGCTCCTCTGCATTTGTCTCCAGCGAATCGTCCTGCAGCTTCTCCATCTTTTTAGTCAGCTCAGCCAGTTTCTCAGCCAGGCTGCTCACCTGGCCTTCCAGCCTGCTTCTCATCCTCTTGTGCTCAGATGCCTCCACCACCTCTCTCTTCTCCAGCTTGCTTAGTGCTTGCTTTGTGCTCTGAAGTTCAGAGCGCAGCTGGGAGACCTCTTCTTTTCTGGTTTGGCTTTCTTCCTCCTTCTCTCTCCATCTGGACTGCAGGACCGCCAGTTCCTTCTCCAGCCTTTCTTTGATTTGGGAGTGTTCTGCCAGAGGCACTGAGGTGGCTTGCAGATGGGCCAGTTCCTGTTGCAGCTCTTGCGCTCTTTGCAGCTCTTGCTGGCTTCTGGCTGCCTGGCTGTCAAGCTCTGCTTTCAGGTCCTCAATGGTGCAGCTGAGCTTCCTCTCCTGGGCCTCCACCTGCTCCAGAGGAACATACTGGCTCAGCAAGCGGCTCTGCATGAGGAGCACCTCTGAGTGCTGTCTGGCACTCTCCTCTTGAAGCCTCTCCTTCTCTCCTGTGACCTCAGCAAACTTTTGCTGCAGCTCCTTTAACTCCTTGTTCAGGTCATCCACCTGGCTTGCCAACATTCCCTCCATTTCATGATACTTCTCTGCAAGGATATAGTTTTGCTGCAGATCATTTTGGACAGCCAGGATTCCAGCTGTTAACTTTCTGATTTCCTCCATATGTTTCTGGATTTCTTCCTCTTTTATTCTGAGTTGTTCCCCCTGTTCCAGGAGCTGGTTTTTCAGCTCCGTTATGGTTGCCTCAAAGTCCCGCTCTTTTTCATCCAAACTGGCAAGGGGAGCATATTTGGACTTGATGCATTCTTGAATCAAGTCAATCTCCTTCTTCTGGGCTTCAATCTCTGCATGCAATTGGGCAACTTCTTCTTGCTTTCCTTGGTACTTTGCCAGCATTTCAGAGTTGCTTCTCTGAAGGTCCTGAATATTTTTATTCAGAGCCGCGACTTTACTGTCGTGGTCTTTTGTATTGAGATATTCAGCCTGCATTTGACTTTGCAGCCCCCTCAACTTCTGCTTCAGTGCATCGTTCTCTTCATTCACTTTCATATATTCCTGCTTCACCTTTTCCATCTTCTCCTTCAGGTCTGACAGTTCTTCACCTGTTCTTTCCAGCATGATGTTCAAGGTAGTTTTTGCCTCTTCGTGAGTTTCTGAAGAGACATACTGCTCCTTCATGACGTCTTGGAGCGCTGCATTTTTAGTTACCAGCTCAGAAACTTTGGCCTGCTCTTTTTTGTATCTTTTGCTAAATTCATCAAGCTGCTTTTGCAAGTCTGCCAAGGTAGATTTTAAGACTCCTATTTCCTTCTCATGCTTTTCAGGAGGAACGTAAGCTGTCTGAAACTTACTGACCTTCTCCTGTAGGCACAGTTTCTCTGCTAGCAGTTTCTCTGTTTCTCCTTTATACCGGTGATATTTTTCAATGGTTTCCGTCAGCTTCTTGTTCAGCTCTCCTACCGTTTTCCTTGTGTCTTCATTGATCTTCAAAGGAACATACTGGGTCTTCACCTCATCCCTGAGGGTCTCCATCTGCTGCTTTAGGAGGCCCTGGTCCATCTGAGCTCTTTCTACTGCCTTCTGCAAGGCTTGGTTTTTCTGTTTCAGTTCCAAGTGTCCCTTCTCAAGTTCACGGGCCCTTTGCTCATATCTGCTTCTGACATGCTTATGTTCCTCTGGCTTCACATAGTGAGCAAACTGAGCTTTCTGCTTCTCAAGCTCCGTCCTCAGGTGCTGAACTTCTGTGCACAGCTTTTCACGCTCTTTCTCCAACTCCGCTATCTTCCAGCCCTTCTCGTCAATTTCATTGGACAGAGAACCCTTCATCTTTTCAAATTTGTTAGCCCATTTCACTGCCGTTTCCTTCAGCTGCTCTTCTGCCTCAGAAAAAGTCCTCTCCCTTGTCTCACGTTCCACCTTCAACATGCCAAGTCCTTTCTGCAACTTTTTATTCTCCTCCACCAGCCTTGCTTCATCTCGTCTGAATTCTTCCACTAACAGCTCGTTCTGCTTCAACTGATTCCTCAACTTGCCCACTTCAGCCGAAGCTCCCTCGTACTTAGCCTTCATGTCTTTCAGCTGCTCCTTTAGCTCCTCAGTCACCTTAGTGCTGCCTGCAGCAGCTTCATTGGTCAGGTGATCCTTCAAGGCAAGAAAGTGGGTCTGCATCTGCTTCACTTTCCCTTCTGAATCAAACATTCTCTTCTGCACATCTTTTAAAGCATCTTCCAGTTGTTTTATCTGCTGATCCGACTCTTGCTTAATTCTTTCACACTCAGATGCCAGGGCTTTGCATTCTGCAGACTTGTGGGACAGTTCTGCCTGGAGCCTGCTTAGGTCACTTCTTGCTGCCTCATAACAGCTCCTGATGTTGCTGAGCTCTCGCCTGAGGGCATCAGCCTCCGAGGGGCAACACTGTATTGGGCTTAACAGCTCTAAAGGCCTCACCATTGATCGGCTCTGGAGATTAGCAGGCGCCAAACCAAGCGTTTGCTTTAAACAAAAGAAAGGTGCTTGTTAAGTTTTGTACAATGGTTTCCATAAAACAGTAATTTTAACAGTTTTTAATGTAAAAAGAAAAGCCTCCATTAGTTCAACTGTGGGGTTTTGAATGCCACACCCTCAAGTTCATTCCATAATTTTTTAGATTAAAAGGCAGGCCAATGTTGGTTAGAAAGATGGAAAATATTGATGCCTTGTTGGACCACCAATTATAAATAAGATAAAAAGTAGGAAATAGGCGTTAAGGATCGCATTGGAAAGCAAACTGGAATTGCATTGGAGCCAAGAATATTCAGGTACCTGGGATGCTGCAGAATAGCCTGAGTCCATCATTAGTACATTTTCTTTCCCTTAAGAAAAACAAAACACATACATTCTTTAATTTGAAACAAATGTCCACATACTATCTTCTACATACTACATAAATTTCTGGTCAATAAGATACAAAAAAGATGTTGAGACCCTAGAAAGAGTACAAAGAGCAACAAAGATAATAAGGGGTCTGGAGGTTAAACTGAGTCCAATGAAGAGAAAGATTAGGGGGTGACATGATAGCAGTCTTCCAATATCTGAGGTGCTATCACAGAAAAGAGGGGGTCAACATATTCTCCAAAGCAGCTGAGAGCAGAACAAGAAATAACAGATGGAATATCATTAAAGAAAGATCCAACTAAAATTAAGGAGAAATTTCCTGACAGGGAGAGCAATTAAATCCAGTGGAACGACCTGCCTCCAGAAGCTGTGGATGCTTCATCACTGGAGGTTTTTAAAAAGAGACAGGACAGCCATTTGTCTGAAACGGTATAAGGTCTCCTGCTTGAGCAGGGGGTTGGACTAGAAGGCCTCCAAGGTCCCTTACAGCTCTGTTCTGAAATGAATTGAAGCCTTCCTTACCTCCACCCCCTACACACATACATAAATCTAAAAACAGATGTCACAAGACTCATGAACATCAACACGGAGACTGAAACGTTCCTCCACAAAAATCCCATTGGAGGAAAATTCCACTTAGGGTTAGGGTTACGTCACCATGAACTCCTAGAGCAAAATGGACATCGCCAACGAACTCAGAGTGCTTGGGTATGGTTAGGGGGGCACTGACTTTTCTAGGATGCCCTATCTATGTTTCCTGGTAAAATACATGGGAAAATCCCATTGGAGGAAAATTCCACTTAGGGTTAGGGTTACGTCACCACGAACTCCTAGAGCAAAATGGACATCGCCAACGAACTCAAAGTGCTTGGGTATGGTTAGGGGGGCACTGACATTTCTAGGCTGCCTTATCTATGTTTCTTGGTAAAATACATGGGAAAATCCCATTGGAGGAAAATTCCACTTAGGGTTAGGGTTAGGTCACCATGAACTCCTAGAGCAAAATGGACATCGCCAACAAACTCGGAGTGCTTGGGTATGGTTAGGAGAGCACTGACCTTTGTAGGCTACCCTATCTATGTTTCCTGGTAAAATACATGGGAAAATCCCATTGGAGGAAAATTCCACTTAGGGTTAGGGTTACGTCACCATGAACTCCTAGAGCAAAATGGACATCGCCAACGAACTCAGAGTGCTTGGGTATGGTTAGGAGAGCACTGACCTTTGTAGGCTGTCCTATCTATGTTTCCTGGTAAAATACATGGGAAAATCCCATTGGAGGAAAATTCCACTTAGGGTTAGGGTTACGTCACCATGAACTCCTAGAGCAAAATGGACATCGCCAACGAACTCAGAGTGCTTGGGTATGGTTAGGAGAGCACTGACTTTTCTAGGCTGCCCTATCTATGTTTCCTGGTAAAATACATGGGAAAATCCCATTGGAGGAAAATTCCACTTAGGGTTAGGGTTACGTCACCATGAACTCCTAGAGCAAAATGGACATCGCCAACGAACTCAGAGTGCTTGGGTATGGTTAGGGGGGCACTGACTTTTCTAGGCTGCCCTATCTATGTTTCCTGGTAAAATACATGGGAAAATCCCATTGGAGGAAAATTCCACTTAGGGTTAGGGTTACGTCACCATGAACTCCTAGAGCAAAATGGACATCGCCAACGAACTCAAGTGCTTGGGTATGGTTAGGAGGGGCACTGACATTTCTAGGCTGCCTATCTATGTTTCTTGGTAAAATACATGGGAAAATCCCATTGGAGGAAAATTCCACTTAGGGTTAGGGTTAGGTCACCATGAACTCCTAGAGCAAAATGGACATCGCCAACAAACTCGGAGTGCTTGGGTATGGTTAGGAGAGCACTGACCTTTGTAGGCTACCCTATCTATGTTTCCTGGTAAAATACATGGGAGGAGGAAAATTCCACTTAGGGTTAGGGTTACGTCACCATGAACTCCTAGAGCAAAATGGACATCGCCAACGAACTCAGAGTGCTTGGGTATGGTTAGGAGAGCACTGACCTTTGTAGGCTGTCCTATCTATGTTTCCTGGTAAAATACATGGGAAAATCCCATTGGAGGAAAATTCCACTTAGGGTTAGGGTTACGTCACCATGAACTCCTAGAGCAAAATGGACATCGCCAACGAACTCAGAGTGCTTTGGAATGGTTAGGAGAGCACTGACCTTTCTAGGCTGCCCTATCTATGTTTCCTGGTAAAATACATGGGAAAATCCCATTGGAGGAAAATTCCACTTAGGGTTAGGGTTACGTCACCATGAACTCCTAGAGCAAAATGGACATCGCCAACAAACTCGGAGTGCTTGGGTATGGTTAGGAGGCACTGACTTTTCTAGGCTGCCCTTTCTATGTTTCCTGGTAAAATACATGGGAAAATCCCATTGGAGGAAAATTCCACTTAGGGTTAGGGTTACGTCACCTTGAACTCCTAGAGCAAAATGGACATCGCCAACAAACTCGGAGTGCTTGGTATGGTTAGGAGGGCACTGACTTTTTAGGCTGCCCTATCTATGTTTCCTGGTAAAATACATGGGAAAATCCCATTGGAGGAAAATTCCACTTAGGGTTAGGGTTACGTCACCATGAACTCCTAGAGCAAAATGGACATCGCCAACGAACTCGGAGTGCTTCGCTATAGTTAGGAGGGCACTGACTTTTCTAGGATGCCCTATCTATGTTTCCTGGTAAAATACATGGGAAAATCCCATTGGAGGAAAATTCCACTAGGGTTAGGGTTACGTCACCTTGAACTCCTAGAGCAAAATGGACATCGCCAACAAACTCGGAGTGCTTGGATATGGTTAGGATGGCACTGACATTTCTAGGCTGCACATCCATATGCCTTCTGCACATGAACTCAATTCCATTGAGAAGCCTACCAAACCCACATCTCCTCAACTTCAGTGAGCACTGCCTGCTTACTGAAAAAAAACCACACCTTGTTTTGAAAGAAGACAAACACAAGGATGCACAACTATAAGCTGCAGAAATAAGCAACTGCAAAACTGTACAGAAAGACTGCCTGGCGTGCTGAAGAAGGTATCAAAAGCTACGTACTGTTATTCAGGTTGCTTCCGGATCCTGCATGGTCACCCTGAAATCACAAAAAACAGACCTGGTTTCACATAGATCAGGGGTCCCCAACCCCCGGTCCGTGGACCAGTACCGGGCTGCGGCATGACAGCAACCTCCAAGGTCCCTTCCAGCTTTATTCTATTCTAAGTTCACAACTGAAGACTGCCTTCCAAATGAAGGGACGTTACCTCATGGAACTTGAGTTTTGACTTCAGAGTTTCAAGCATTTGCAGGCTCTCTTCTTGTTGCTTTTCCTTTGTGGCCAGAAGCCTCCTAAGCTCATCTTTCTAGAAGAGAGCAACAGGTCATTGCTACAGGGAGCCAGAAATGTCTGTTTCTCTTTCTGAGATAATATACCTTTGATAAATACGCATAGCCCCCAGTGTATAGCACTCAAGCAGGCTAAAGTTACTTGAGACTTAATATATGCTGCCATTGCATAAATCCTGGTGCATTAGCACAATCAACCCCAAATGTTTTTAAACGGGGTCCATTCCCACTAATTTATGATTTTAGATCTATCAGGCAATTATCTATGGAGAGAGAAAAAACGTTTTTCTTTCAAGTTAATGAGAAAGAACAATAGAAAGAATCTCGTCTTTTTACCTCAGTTTCAAGATCATCAGCAACCATTTGCTCCTAAAAACAGAACATAACAGAACACATTCAGCAATATTTGAGACCTTTTCTTCCATCATTCATGAATGGCTAGTGCTATGACTCACCTGCCAAAGGATATTTTTCCTTTCCAGTTCATATACTGTCCCAGATTTGGCCACAGATTTCATACCCCCACAAAAATAACCACAAGGACTAGATTTGTTCACAAAGGACAAATCCTGTCCTTTCCCATTCCAACCCCTGGCCCATTTTCTGACAGTTCAAAGAAGCCGCAATGCTAAGACCAAAGTTGCAGAAGGGAAGAGGGAAAGCAGAGCCGCCCGTTGTGATATTACCTTCTTTCCTTCCACATGAGAAAGCTTAATCAAGCACGTCAGCTGAGCTGGAAGCCATGCCAGCAGAGCTTTTAAAAAATATTGTTCCGACACAAGAAGCAGAACAGTCAATCAAAACTAGAATGTTTGGTAACAACAATATGGCTTGATCCCTAAATGCAGATTAGCATTTAAACTTCTACGTCACTCTGTTTAAAATGGAAAACCAGAGAAAACGAACATGTCCTTCACTCTAATCATCACGAGAAGCCTGCTGCAGAGGGAAGCCAGGGTGACCACGGAAATATCTCCTGGTCCCAACGGCTAAATAATCATCCCTGGACTATACCCTCTCCAGAGGGCAAAGTTTCTCCTTGGGCACACTGGCCACTGCTACCACTTTATATTCACTGCTGCTGAAAGTGGTGCCAGATTCCAGCAATGGGGACCCTGCTTCAAAAGGCAGACTGGGGACTCTTCCGCCAGAGAACATGCCTCAGAATAGAAAAAAAAATGTCATTACCTTTATTCTAACATTGTTCAGAAAAGAATGGTGGGTAAAAAGAAAAAAAGAAAGGGAAATCTGGGGGTTGAACCTTGATAAAATACTAGCAATCTCAATTAAATGTTAAGCATGCAGCACAAACTGGGGTTTGTTACCTCGTTCAGCTGCAACTGCAGCCCATTTATTCTGTCTAGTAGGATTCGTTGTTCCTGCTGGATTTCCCTCATTCTTCCTTTTAAGTCTTCATTTTCTCTTTCTAATTCCTGGGAACAAAAAAACAACCTTATTCAAGCTGAGGATGCTCATCAGGCATTACAGCTAATCGTAGCTCCCACCCCAAGTGAGCCCTTCTCCTTTATAGGGATATCCAGATTTCTTTCCTGGGTTCCCATCGCCAACCGCAAAAGACCCAACTTCTCCCTGAAGCGACATCTGAGCCTCCTGCCCTCCCAACCACTCCTCACTAGCAGCCAGTGGCCTCTTTCTGTCTACTGACTTGTTCACACTCATCCCCCATCTCTGCCAAACACTGCTCAGCTGCAGCCAAGGAATGGCCCCAATGTAAGGACCTGCCCCAGCTGGTCCCTCAGGAGAGCAAAACTCTTGACTCCGTTGAGTTGAACCAAAAGAACTTTTACTGAGAGAAAGTAGTCGCAGAAAAGTCAGGTGGAATCTGAAAGTTCCACGCAAAGCACAAAGCAATTCTGACCAGTCCACTGGCAGCCAATGTGATGCCACAAGATTGTTTTGAGAACACTGAGGTGCTGGGCAGTTAATAGGTCACCCTCAAAGCCTGACAGCCTTGGAACCAGGCTGGAACCAGCTGGGAAGGAGTCTGCTCCTAAGACAATCCCCCTCCCTAATTCCCAAGCAATGATAAAACAACATATTTAAAACCAAAGATATTCCTATTGGGCACCATCACACCCATGTGGAAAAATGTCAGGATAGCTAATGAGTTCTTGCTTGCTTGTAACTGGCCTGCCATGGCCCAGAAGAGCACCAGGCCACTCCAGGATTTTAACCTGTCCTTTGATGTCCATCAATGAGGCATTTATGCAAGTCAGACATGTTGGCAAAGACCATTATCTTTTCTTTTGTTGGTTCATTTGTAGGTGTTCCCTTTTGCAGGACTGTCAAATATCCCCCCAAGGCTAGCAACTGTCTAACATTTGTACCAGGCATTGCAAGACTCTGAGAAGTGGTTTAGGAACAGATTGAGAGTTTTCAAGAGCTGACAGATGAAGTTTTTTATTCTTTTCAGAGTCAAAGGAACTTCCTTCACCTGTACGTTCTGGTGCTCCTTCAGAAATGGTTTATTGCTCACTTCGTCCAAGATATTAGGTTGAGTCCATTTGGGTAGCATGCTAGGCATCTAAAAAGTAAAAAAATGTTGAAGTTCATCTTCAGTAAGGAAATATTTCAGCAATACTAGTTACCTCAACTGCATAGGTCCCGCTTTCCTTACATTCACCTTAGGCAACTGCAAACTGGACAGAGATGGCAAGCTTAATCACAGATGCCGGTAAAGAGGGCTGATCACGTTGAGAAAGGCCACAATCACTGATAATGCCTACAATATGTCTTCCCCAGAGGGCAGACCTTCCTCCAAACCGCCTCCAAGGGGCAGAAATTAGAGGCTTACATTAGACATCTCCCAGAATCCTTACCTTCAATAGTTGCTGCCCTTTCTTCATTATTTCGTAACCTGCTAAAAAATAAAGCTTATGTTTAGGTATTCCATCCAAGCTCAGGCCAAATGTGAAAATAATTCTATCGATTAACCCCCCAAATTACAAGAGTTTTCATCACTAAGATTTCGGGGGGGGGGGAACAGTTTTGGAGGCTTTTGGGGATTTTAGGACAAAAGCACTTCCAAAGGAGGAGGGCAACAACTGAAAAAAAAACCTTGGAACTTCTGGCCATGAACAAAAGGACCGAAGGCAACCTCTCCCGCCGGATCTTATCTGAAGGGCAGAAACGATCAGGAGATGGCAGAGTCCTGGGTGAAGAAGACATTTCCCCTGAAAATATGAGGGAAGCTGATGTACCTTTGCTGGATTCTTCAAAGGCAGACTTTATCAGAGACAATATTTCAGCACTGTCCCCAATTCGTGCATAATAAAAGCAGTCGTGGCCCAGCGCGTCAACCAAAGTAACATCGGCTCCATTTTTGAGCAAAACCTCTACAGCATCCTTACAGCCGTACTCGCAGCCCAGCATCAGAGCGGTCCTGCAAGGGAATGAAGAAAGGGTGCAAGTACAGTAGGTCCCGGCTGCCCTGAATTTTGAATATGCGGCCATGAGGCTACTGTGATAGCCCTAAGAGTAAGGATCATTTGCAAGTCACTTTTTTCAGTGCCGTTGTAGCTTTGAGTGGGCATTCAACACACAGAACTATCTGTGTTCTGGTGCCAGCTGCTTGATTATTTCTGCTTGATCCCTCTTGCCAGTGCACACCAAATTCAAGGAAGGCAAGTCAAGATCTTTCTGAGTCAAGTGTGAAATGTTTCTATTTACAGAATCCGTGGAGCCCAAAATTCACAATTTCTTGGTCTCAGTAGGGTTTTACTACAGAGAAACTAACTCTAATGTGTTCCAGAAGCATAGAGATAGCTTATCTGCAGATGACTTGCAGGAAGATATCTTACCGATTCTGCTTATCTCTTGCATTGACTTCAGCACCTCTGTCTAACAGAAACTGGCATACAGCTGGACGGCACATCTGAGTGGCCAGCACCAAGGGTGTCCTTCCATCCTGGAAAAAGAACAAAAGACGTCTTCTGGGGAAGAAATGGCAGACGGCTCCTATAGCGGAATGAAGTGCTGGCAATCTTCGATAATTCCTCTTCAGAGTACCCACAAGTGTTCCAGAAAGCTCACAAAAAAGCCACCACAGCTCATAAATGAGGGTTTATGGATTTGTTTAAACAAAAGATGGAGTACAGGAAGAAAAGATCATTTCTTGTATTTTAAGTTACTACAATTATACTTGTGATAAGGCAGGAGTCTCTTTTTTATTCACTTCATTCATTTATTACATTCTTTTTTTCTTTTCTATTTTTCTTCTTACTTTTTCTTTTCCATACATTCTTTTTTTTTTTGGCTTGTATTTGTTTTTATTGATGTACAGTGGTACCTGCTTTGAAACTCATCAAATTTGACTCAATGCATGTTGATGTGAAAATTTTGTCCTGTTATTCAACACACAAGCTAGAATCTGTCATTGTCGGCTGCCTTGTGACTCACTACATTATTCCTTATAGGAAAAATTTGTTTGGTACTCATCATTTTTGGTACTCATCGCACCTCCCGGAACCAAATAACAATGAGTACCAAGATATCACTGTAATTGTACGTTTAATGAAATGTTATTAAAAAAGAAAAAGAACCAAGAACTTGACCGATCCTGAAAGAAGATTCTGAAAGAACTTACAGCATCTTTGGCATTCACCAAGGCTCCATGGTCACACAGCAACTGTATGCTGGATGTACAATCCGACATTGCTTTGGGAAGCAAAACAATAGGTGTTACTGGTGGAAAATTCAAGATTCAACTACTGCCAGGTTATTATGGGCTGTAGGACCCATGGAACATGTTTCTGGACTGTTTTAATAATACCTAGTAATATCTAATAGCCAATGTCTCAATCAGAATGCATCGGTTTCAAAGTAGTAAGGTAATAATAAAAAGTTCCTTAACAATTATCATTCATCTTTTGGAGAAACACAAACAGCATCTGCGCTATCATTGGCTTTTCCATGTTGTTAGTAACACTGCTAGTTTTCTCATTAGATTAGGAATTCTGGCTGTACACACAGCCTGTCCCTTTACCCGCATCATGAAGAGCAGTACGTCCTTGCAGATCCACATTTTCTGTTGAGCAGTTGTACTGTAGAAGAGCCAAGCATATCTTATTACCATTTTGTAGAGATTTAATACCTTCAATATTTAGCATTGTGTTTTAATAATAGCAGAATCTAAACCTGGCAACACTTCAAGCGGCACTTCAAATGCATTTTCATTCAAAAATGTTACGTGCATGGATCAGGAACACTCATTTAAGAACCAGACTTAATATGGAACATCCTACCTACTCCAATAATGTCTACAGGAACATTAGCAAATCAGCTTTCTCAAAATCAGTCCACAAGCTCCACATGGTCTCTTTATCTGCAGGGCTTCCTTTCTAAGCATTTTCCCTCCTACCCCACGGACAGATTTGCTGCACACAAAACCTGCAGTGAACTCTACTGACCTTTCTCATCTCACAGAAAGAGAATCTTGCCCATGCACAGAAAGCCCCTCTGTCATGCAAAGCTATTCAGCTTCCTGCTTAATGTTTTTACATGTATTTTGAAATCCACTGGACATTTGATAACTACCATATATAGCTAATCAAGGTCCAGAATTTTCCCCATGCAAAGAAACAAAATTCCCTATCATGCTTTCTTTTCTACATAACATTTAACAATTTGTCAACTATTTAATACCTGCAACAGTTTTTGCAGACAAAGCGCATGTCCATATTTTGCCGCTAAATGCAGAGCAGTCCTTCCTGAAGAGAAGAATTAACAAGGAAATTCTGAACATAGCCAGAATATATATATATATATCACACACACACACACACACACACACACATATAAAAGCAAAGAAATGCCTATTACCCCCCTCCCCAAACACCCAGAGATTTATACATATATAGATAACCCTGTGTAGCTCACAACTGCAGATTAAATTGATCACTATATTTGAACTGAATTATATACCTCAAGGAAAAGAAAGAAAATTGGGTTTTTAAACTAATTTAAATTGATTTGTAGTGCAGAATAAATAGTTCCTTTAAATAGCTCTCTCTCTTTTTTTTTTTTTTTTTTTTTGGCGGTTGGGGTGTTGGTGTTGGTCAATAAGATACTACAGTTCCAAAGTACAGGCAACAAAACAAGCAACATGGAACCAAACAGGCTTACGGGGCCAGACACACAATACATTAGTTGGCCTTTCAAAATTGTTTAAGTAACAACATGCAATTGTTCTATTTTAAACAAGGAAATCATACCTGCTACATCAGTGGCAACAATGTCAACTCCATGAACAAGAATAGCATTCAGACAATCAAGGTTACCCTTTGAGGCTACAACATGGAATCTGAGTGAAACAAAGGGTAAAAAAGTCATATCTTGCTCACCTGCACAGTTTCATTCTGTACAAGTAAATCCTACCAAGTCCAAAAGAATTTGCTCCTATTCTAGAGCTGAAATTATTCCAACATGTGAGTTGGAAGAGATAAATGTTTTAGAAGAAAAATATCCCAATAAATAATCTTGAACATGACCTTCCTGAGCTACAGCTAAAGCAGAACTACATCCTGAACTTTATATAATCCTCTAACAGGTGCAACAAATGAAGAGCTGCCCATACAGGTTTCCCCCCAAATTGCCAAGGGTTAGGAGGGAGGCCAAAATAGTTGCAATCAGGCTTCTCCTTCTACTTACGCAGATCTCCCTTCCAAATCTAATTTTGTGGGGTTCACTCCTTTTTTAGCAAGGACAGACAAGATCTTCTCCACATCAGCCCTTTCAGCTGCTTTCATCAAACGATCATCATATTTGTTCCAATCTGCAGTCAACTGTTTGAAAAATGCAATATATATATATATATATATAAATATAATAAATGTCAGTATTGGAAAATCTAGCAGGAATTCCAGAAAATATTTGTTTCACGCAAAGAGTGAGCATCTCCAATAAAAATGGATGAGCTCAAAGAATTGTTGTTCCTCTGGCACATTGCTAAAAGGAGAGAAACCACTTGAAAAGTCAGGCTGTAAGCACTTTTGCAGGCAAACTCCCCGAGGAGGTGTTACTCTGGTCTAAAAATACACGAAATAAATCTACTCAATTACATTTTTAACAGCCACTTTAAACTGAGGCATAGTATTGTTTCTTCTATAATATGAGCCTGACACAGAGCAGTATACTCCTGAATGCTCTTCAAGATACAAATGTCTTCAACAAAAATTGCAACCTTGGTTAAACTTCTGAAAGAAGTTTATGCAACCTCTGGAGGATGTCAGTCTTGAAAATGGGTCACTGGAAGTTGTACCCCAATAAATAAGGGAAACAAGAAAAACCAAGAATGTGACTGAACTTAAATTTAAATCCATTAAACATGCTACAATTTATCATAATACTTAAAATAATATTAAAAGTTAGAACTGGGTAACAATTGTAGATAAGGATGTGGGAGCCATATCATTTCAGTGGCCTAGTAGATTGTACAGTGAGGGAAAAAAGTATTTGACCCCCTGCTGATTTTGTACGATTTTGTACAATCAGTCTATACAGTAATTTTAACGGTAGTTTATCTGAACAGTGAGAGACAAAATAACAAAAAAAAAAAAAAAAATCCAGAAAAACGAGTGTTTAAAGGGAGAGCTCCTAATCTCAGCTTGTTACCTGTACAAAAGACACCTGTCCACAGAACCAATCAATAAATCAGATTCCAAACTCTCCACCATGGCCAAGACCAAAGAGCTGTCCAAGGATGTCAGGGACAAGATTGTAGACCTACACAAGGCTGGAATAGGCTACAAGACTATTGCCAAGCAGCTTGGTGAGATGACAACAGTTGCTGCAATTATTTGCAAATGAAAGAAACACAAAATAACTGTCAGTCCCCCTCAGTCTGGGGCTCCATGCAAGATCTCACCTCATGGAGTTTCAATGATCATGAGAACTGTGAGGAATCAGCCCAGAACTACATGGGAGGATCTTGTCAATGATCTTAAGGCAGCTGGGACCATAGTCACCAAGATAACAATTGGTAACACACTACGCCACGAAGAACTGAAATCCTGAAGCGCCTGCAAGATCCCCTTGCTCAAGAAAGCACATGTACAGGCCTTTCTGAAGTTTGCCAATGAATATCTGAATGATTCAGAGGAGAACTGGGTGAAAGTGTTGTGGTCAGACCAAAACCGAGCTCTTTGGCACCAATTCAACTCACTGTGTTTGGAGGAGGAGGAATTCTGCTAAGACCCCAAGAACACACTCCCCACCGTCAAACACGGAGATGGGAACATTATGCTTTGGGGGTATTTTTCTGCTAAGGAGACAGGACAACTTCACCGCATCAAAGGGACAATAGACGGGACCGTGTACCATCAAATCTAATGACTGAAACACATATATTGACCTCTTCCAAAGTTTCAATCTTAGGGCAATAAATGTTTCCTTTAGTTAACTTTGCAACAGTTCATAAGTGTCCCAATGATCCAACTTTTTTAAAAAAATTGAAGTTAGGCCAAAAGTAACATTAAAAAAAATATTCTGGAGGGTTTGTCACAGTAAAAGCATCTATTTATAGTTGGAATGCATTTAAAAATTACACATTCTACAAATACTTGGAAGCACGCGTGAATTAAGTCAAACTTTTTCTATACTAAATAGCTTATTATGTAAATTTATCCAGCCTCTTTGATGTAAAAATAGTTGTAAATTAACTAATAATTGAAGAATATTATAAACAAAAACTTTACAACTGTGGAAGTCAACCAAAATTAAGAAGGGATAATACGTATTGGAACAAATTTAAGATTGCACTGCCAAAAATTGCTTGGTTTCTTATCAAATACATGATACCTACTACGTTTTTAAGAGCACATGAAAACCAGCAACTCATCCTAGAATTCTAAGTCCTTGCTGCCAAGAACAAACAATACACCTGCTACAGAACCAAAACAGTCCGCTTGAATCCAAGGAGGCGACACAATGTTATCGGGGTTTTTGCTGTCCTGCTGCATGCATCTTGGCCATCCTTTTCTTAGCTTGGATCCTCAGCCAGGCTCTCTTCATCCCCGGGTTCTCCTTCAGACCTCATGGCTGAAAAGACTCGAGGACTCCGCCAAGCCCAACCGTCTTCCCAGCATGTCCTGACAATTGCTTGGGCTGGCACTGGGGAAGACAACCTACACGGAGAGTCTGGCTTTGTTTTGCAGCCTTTGGAAGTGGCACCAATTATTGCTGCAGCAATTCTGACACGATAAGTCTTACCCAAGTCCAAAATAACCTGTAAACAATATGCAGACAGTCTCACATTGGTCCAGAGCTATTTTCTGATTCTCCTGGTACTTGATAGCAGTGTGATAGAAAAAAATGGCTAATAATACATTCAGTGCATGCTCAACTAGTGAGTAATATGTCAACTAGTAAGACAAGAATGCGTATGATGCTACTGCCACAAACGGGCGATATTCTCCAAATGTGTCCTTCCTAATCAGCTTTGAACAGGAGCAGCCCCAAGGAAAGCCACAGGAAACAGGGGGCTTCCTAAATATCAGCCAGATGGCCAGACACAGCACGGCCTTCAGACACAGGTAGTCCTTGACTTACAACCATTCGTTTAGTGACCCATTCAAAGTTACAATAGCACTGAAATAAGGGACTTACGACTGTTTTTTACACTTCACGACTGTTGCAGAGTCCCCACGGTCAGGTGATCAAAATCCAGCTGCCTGGCAACTTGTGTGTATTTATGATGGTTGCAATGTCCCGGGGTCATGTGGATCCCCTTTTACGACCTTCTGACAAGCAAAGTCAATGGGGAAGCCAGAGGCACTTAACAGCCATGTTTATTAACTTAACTGGGATTCTCACTTAATCGTGGTAGCAAGAAAAGTCATAAAATGGGGCAAAACTCATTTAACAAGCATCTTGCTTAGCAATGCGAATTTTTCGGTTCAATTGTGATCGTAAGCCGAGGACTACCTATACAGTAACTTCCACGTTGTGATCAGAAGACTGTAGCAAGTGAAATTTCAACCAGCAGAAGGAACCTACAAATCTATTTTGGAAAAAAACTTCTCAGAACTTAACTTAGAAGGTGTACCATGTACCTTTGCCTTTTGAAAAATAAAAATAAATTTCCATAGAAGTTTCCGTTCAGAAAGAACGGTTCAGCTAAATTCTGTTGCCAGGCTGTTTTCTATAGGCCAGTGGAGAAGGCTTGTCAAAATACTCAATGATCAAGGTGATGAACCTCTGGTCCCCAACCTTTAGGGCACCAGGGACCGATTCTGTGGAGAAAGGTTTTTCCACGGACCGGAGAGTGTATGGTTTTGTGTGCTGCCTGCATCCCACGGATGGGGCTTTGCTTATTTGTGAGGACCGGTTGCTGGTATGCCGAGGACCGGGTCATGGACCGGAGGTTGGGGACCCCTGACCTAGGACACCATAGTTGATAGGAAAAGCAGTGAAGAGGTCCAGAACTAATAGGGCTGCACTGTGATGGACTGCAGTGAAGCAGCAATTTCCTAGGAAAGAAGGAGTACATATCTAAGCGGGGATGGGGGGGCAGGAGAAACAAGACACAACACAGCCTGGAGCTGGATAGGAGACAGAGGAAGAGTGTAAGGATAGCCACTCCCTAAGAATCTCAAAGCGCTCATCCAATGGGGTGAGAGTAGGAAAGATTTAGTCTTGTATTGGGTGTGAGCAAATAAAACCGAACCTGTTCTACGTCATTTTTGAGCTGGGCCTTGACATGCACTTCCCTCATCTACTTGATAGATCATCCAAGTGAACAAAATAGTCTCAAAATAATTTCCCAAATGAACCCGACTGAAATGGATCCAGACAATCATATTTAGAGATGTAATAATATCTCCAGAAAAAAATCAAAATTAAGTAGAAATGGTAGAGAATATTCTGGAAGGATGGAAGGGTGGCAAGGTTTGCGCCATTTCAGTGAGCAGTTTGACTTGTCCTGCATGGTGTCATTTTTTTCAGTGAACCTACTTTCCCATGCTGGAAAAGTTATAAAAGCATGCCTGACACGTAAATATCATTCCTTCTTATGTAAGGAAAAGAAGGGATCAAAAGCAACTAACACATGCTGGCCTGTTGATAGCTTTTTCCATTTATTATCTGACTCTCTAAGCATGTGCTTTGCCAATTTCATAACTCTGCCACTGAGAAAAACGTTTATGAACAAGGAAAGTATTGTTATTTTATAGAAAAAGTTTTGAAGCCAGTTAGAGATGGCCTGAGAGTGGAATGCATTCCCATGAGATTAAATAGCTTTACAGATTTCCACAGGAAAAGGGAGTTGAACGTTAGGCAATTCTGTATACCGGAAAAGTGATGATCTATATCCAAAAACAATGACACTCCCTCCAAACACGTACCAGATAACACACCCACTCATTCTGAGGAACAAGAAAAATTAAATCCAGTTGATAGTTATACTTCATCACGTGATTATGTGAAAACTTCTTTTTTGGTTATAAATCAACCTACAAATGGAGACACTCCTTTAAGAAGAGGATTACCGGCAAATGGACTTGGAAGTGTCTGTTCTGCCCAACTGAGAAAGTTTTCTGCTAGTCCAAGGCAACTACTCCTGCTTCCAGGTCTCGCTTCTATGCAAAGGATCAAAATGAAAATAGTTTCCTTGCATACCTAATTTTTCCCATATAACTTTCATTAGAAATGTAGGGGGTAAGGTTTATACCCTATTTTAATTATCCTGATTCCTGGTTATTCTCTACTGATTCTGAAGATTAGATGGGATTTTGGATATCAACTAGTCCAGGAGTAGGCAATCTTGGCTTTTTTATGACTTGTGGACTTTACTCCCAGAATTCCTGAGCCAGCCATGCTGAGGGGAAAGGGAGTTTCCAACCTGAGCCATGCTGGCTCAGGAATTCTGAGAGTTGAAGTCCACGAGTCATAAAAGAGCCGAGGCTGCCTACCCCTGATCTAGTCCAACCCATTGCCCAACCTAATGGGATAACTCACTGCGGCCAGCTCACCACCACCAAATTGCCACCAAGTCACTGCCACCAAGTTGCCACAGAACAACTCCACGTAGCCAACTCACTGCAGGGACAACTCAACATGGGCTCAGAACCGCTCCTGATGCCATGGCCACACCGGGCTCAGAGCTGCCGCTGCCGCTGCACCAGATGCTGTGCCAGGCTTGGAGCCACCACTGATGCTGCTACCGTGTGAGGAGACGGGCAAAAGAAAGCTCAGGACTGTATTGGTTGGAAACACGCAGAAGAGACCTTCATTCTGCAGTGGGTAGACAATGGCTAAAATGATGAATACCCCATGGTTTCTTTTCCTGCCTCTTGGAATCAAGAAAACAATTTCCCCTATTTCTTCCATTTTCCGTCACTGAAACTGTTGAGAGGTAGGCTTAAAGCCTTCCCCCCCCAAAATGGCTTCATTCACTTGCTAAACCAGTGTTTCTCAACCTTGACAATTTTAAGGCATGTGGACTTCAACTCCCAGAATTCCACAGCCAGCAATGCTGGCTGTGGAATTCTGGGAATTGAAGTCCACATGCCTTAAAATTGTCAAGGTTGAGAAACACTGTGCTAAACCCAACTGAAATAATTGGCCATCCTGATGCAGCCTTTTAAGGGTTAAGCTTAAAAGTCCTCATGCAAAAGGGCTCCTCTTGTGGTGTACAGCATCTGGGGAGGGACAAAATGTTGACATTCTTGAACAGAACTCTAGAACAGCAGGTTTTAGAATCAGCCTCCTTTATCCTGTAATTAATACAGACATGTCTTAACTCATTTATTCACTAATTAAGCAAGTCCATTTTAGAAAACTGAACACCTGCTATGCAGCGTTATTAGTGATAAATTAGTGGCTAAACATGTACTCTTTGTATTAAACAAAGTAAACCCAGTAAGACTGCCTCCCCAAAAGGAACTAATTATGCACAGAAGAGTCTTTGAAGCTGTTTCAAAGTCATAACACCTATAGCAAAAAACTTTGAAAAAATGAGCTTGTGATATTCAAATGCACTCGCCAACAAATAATCTCAACCAAGGTATTATTGTGCTAATTAAATGGACACACCTTTTGTTAATCCTACAAGCAAACTAAAATCTAATCTTTCTCATGCAATTGCTAAATTCATCCCCCCAAATATATCAGAATACTACAAAATTTGGAGTAACAGTCAGTTTGGCTACATTCAAAATCAGACTCATAAAGTAATTATGACATAACTGATCAAAAACAGACAACCACATACACAGAAGTACTGGTTCCCCAAACTGAACAGAAACATTTCAAAGGAAATTTAATGTAATCAGTAATCATAATTACATGTAATACTCACTCAGTGATGGCAATTGGGGCATTATGTGGTCACTATTTGCAACCTCCTGGTGGCTTCCCCATTGACTTTGTAGCAAATTGAGATCACAAATGAGGTAGGCTATTCCATAAGGATATAAGGACGAGTCACAATTACCATTTATTCAATTGCTGAACAAACTGTTGGTCATTAAACACGGGGCCACCTGTAGTTCACTTTTCCTATATTGTTTTTGTTTGCATTTTTTATTCAAGAAAATCTACACTAAATAGCATAGGCCATTCACTAGATTCCAGATAATACTTTAAAAGTATACAAGAAGCATGTTTTATGCACAAAAAGCAGCATAACTTAGAATATGACTTCATGCATCATATCAGACAATACAAGAGAATCTATTACACAATATGCACAGTAGGGACTAAAAGAGTAAATACCTGCACCTCACACCTGGGTGCAAATATTACTCTACAAGATAGTACAGAAACTCCTTGGAAGATTACATCTTTCAGATAGCTATGGCAATAAAATAAGCAATTTTATATCAATATCAGCAAGAAAAAATTCAATATCTTTGCTGGGATATTCTTTTTACAGAATTATAGAATGTATCAGTTGATACATTAGATCAACTGATACATTCTATAATTAGATCTTTCTCATATGCATCATCAAACCATTTTTCCCAGGTCTCTAGTATTTGTTTTTTCCTATCCGGATGCAAGACCTCACACTTGACACAGGCAAAAGTTACACAATTGGACTGGCCATAATGTTCAAACATTCATAGTCAATTTGAATTGTGATTCTGTCCTTTAAGGCATTAGCCTATTTCCCTACCTTAGTTTTATTAACAAATTTTACAAACCTCTCTTCCACTCTGCTAAATACCATGAAAAAAACGCACTATCAGTTGTGATAAAGATCACTGAGCATAGTAGTGGGATCTACTGCACATGAGCTAAAACTCCTCAACAAACACACTTCTGCAACTCCTAACTTCCAAGAATATTTAAATCACACACTCTGTGCAGCATAGCTAGCTGCTAACCAAATGTAGAGCACACAACAATACAGCATTAAAGTTGCAACACTCAGCCAAGGGTTCTGTAGGGCAGTTAGTCTCATCTTTGCTCTCTTACATCAGATTTTGAATAGGCATACAAGGTGTACCTGTCCTGTTCATTCAGTATGTCAACCCTCAGCGATATTCAGATATTCACCTGGTTACTGAACGCAAAACAAAAAGTACTATCTTTACTGTGCTGAGGACCTTGTGGCTTAATTGAACTTCATAGGCCAACTTCTACCCGGGAGAAACAGATGTGGTCAGCTTTCATATTCTGCTGTATCCCACGGGCAGCTTGCGTTGTTTTATTGCTTAGAGAGAACTGAATGTTCACATGCCACATCTGGATCTGTCTGACACGGTGGCATCCTGAGGTGTTCCCCTACTCTGGACGTAGAATGAAAAACAGACGGCATTCCAAGGAAGCCAGTTGTAAAAACTCCACGTTTTGATTTTGAATTTCCTTCAAATTAGCACGCATGATAATGGATAAGATTAAGGCAAAGGTGACACCCCGAGAGCTAGTTTGATGAAGGACAGTAGAAGACGCTCAGACCCCAAGAGGGACCCTCTCTAAGAAAAAAGACTGGTACAAAACCAGATTCAAACTCCATTTGTCACCAGGCGGAATTCGGAGCCGCCGCGCGTTCAGTCCAAAGGTCAGAAACGGCAGAAACGTTCGCCGGGCAGAAGAGGAGGCACCCGGCGAAGCAGAAGCCAGCCGGCGGCCTCTTCCTTCCCCGCTTCCAGCTGCATTTTCCCCTTCCGCGCACGGAGGAAGAGCGGCCGCCCGACCCTTTCGCCCGCATCGTTACTTCGCACGAACGGAGGCTGCTGCCCCAGCGCCCTCCCCGACCGCTTCCCCGCCCGCTTTTCCTCCAGCGGGCTGCAAGCAAAGCGCACCCCGGGCGGTGGGGACTCCCGAGAAAGCAACTCGCCTCCCCCGGCTCGGCCCCCGGGCGAGCCCCGCACGAGGCGGGCTGAGGAGCTTTCGCCGCTGCCAGGAGAGCCGGATTTTCCCCGCCGCGTTTCCCGGACCGAGCGGGCGTCCCGTCCCTTGGCCGCCACGGAGACTCTCCCCCCCCCGCCTGCCCGGGGAACCGAGGGCGAGAGGGCGGCCGCCGCAGCCTCGCGCCGAGTCCGGGGACGCCGCCGGGCCCGGGACGTGAGGCCAGGAGACCTCGGGCTGCCCGCCAGAGCAGGACGACCTCCGCCCGCGCTTCCCCGCTCACCCCGCCGTGGCCGCTCCCGGCGGGCGAGGCCTCCGGCTTCCTCAGACGCGACTTGAGGCTCTTCATGGTGCCGCCGCCGCCCGGCGGGACGGACCGCCACCGCTTCCCTCAGCCGCTCGGGACGAGCGCAGGCGCCCGTGTCGGGCAGCCGGCCACGCCTCGGCCAATCGGGCGGCGAGGGGGGCGGGACTTCCTTCGCTGGCCTCCGGGCGAGGCCGGCGCGCGCCAGGTCCTCCCGCAGTGGCTCTCCTTCCCCCTGGGGGTGGGCGGGGCTCGGGAGTGCCGCCTGGAGCGGGCTCTCATCGGCGTTGTGGGCGGGCGAGAGAGAGAGAGAGAGAGAGAGAGACCATCTTCAGATCTTTAAGAGAACTTGCCACAAAAACAGGATGCAATATTAACAGGAAGAGGAAATGAATTTAAGTAGAGAGGGACAATACACACTTGATAGAAAATTTCCTTGAGTGAATATTGGTTTTAGTCCGTTTATTTATTTAGAACATTTTTGTGACGTCTTAAGCAAATCGTTCTGGATGACCCAAACCAAAACCACACCTAGAGCATGCCAAACATGCACCCCATGAGTGGCGCCCCAGGATTGCGGAGCAGGTACATGGTGACCACGAACTCCCAATCTCCTCTGGGGCCAGAGGAGGCAGGTTGAAGTGTCCCAGAACCATAAGCCAGGGGAACTCCACGGTCAACAAGCTTCACGGTCAAGGAGCACAGACCGGTTTCACAAATGGCTTTTATCATCATCATTTTAGCCATTGTCTATGCACTGCAGAATGAAGGCATGCTTCCTTCAGGTTTCCAACCAATACAGTCCTGAGCTTTCTTTTGCCAATCGGGCCTGCAATACTTGCTGAGGTCCACGGTCCATCTTGTTTTAGGTCTCTTTCGTGGATGCTTTTTATCAAGTGGGATCCATTCTATGACTGCCTTGGTCCACCTGCCATTAGTTCTTCTTGCTATGTGACCACTCCATTTCCATTTCAATTCTTTTACTCTCTAGTTGATATGGTGTGCTTTCGTTTGTCCTCTAATCCATGGGGAGGTCTTTCTATCTTGACTTATGCTGCCGAGCGTGTCTTTTTCCATGGCTCTTTGTGCCACTCATAGCTACAAATGGCTTTACATCTAGCTATGTCTCCCAGCACCTTAAAGGCCACCAGA